AGTTCCACGTGTTAACAACCAGAAAGAACTTTTTGTCAAAGTTGCTGCACTAGCAATTTTTATTTGTGCTGTGTGTGAAACTGATCGCGAGTTTTTGAGAAGCAATAACCGATAATTTACATAAAATATCAGAAATGTTTTTAATTAATTATTTTGCGGTATATAATTACTTATGTAATTTTTATTCTAAAAAGTTCGGGTTCGGTTCGGATTTGGCCGAACCTCAAGAAAAAAAAACCGAGTGTTCGGTGCGAGTTCAGCCAAAAACTCCGAGTTCGGTCGGACAATATGGTATGCACTACCAATTCGGCTAGCATTTATTACTTACGTTTGTTTTTGTCAGATCACCTTGGCCATAATGATCCTCAGCGATTTTTTTTACATTTTACTACTTTGGCGTTGACATTTTTGCAAACTTATTTTGCAGTTTCTGTGATTTCTTAGCGCTGTCAAGCGCACAACACTACTCGATTTTTCTTTAAATGCCACTATTGTTTTCTTGTCATACGCGCATCCTTACTGATCGCGCAAAGAGCAACGCATACCTATATTTACAGACTAACTTACTTTGTTCGCAAACAACCAGCGCGTTTAATCGCGCATCCACCATTTCAGCCAGTTGTCATGCCAATTTGCGTTTGTCCGCCTGCCGCCCCACAGACGCAGAAGTGAATCAGTCAACTGGAAGAGAAGGGCTCACTCATACACCTCCGACGCTCACCTCCTCCAGTGCGTGGCACTCAAACTGTCTACTTGACTTGCTAACCCAACATCCACTGCTACTACAGCAATCTTCTTTTGCATGTTGCTGAGCGTTATTTGCATGTTGCAACGCCGTCACTATGACCACCGTCTTCTTGTTGTATGCGTTTCTTTTTTTTGCGTACACTATCGCTACACCATTCTACATTTGCTGATTATCTGCTGCGAAACAGGTGATCCGTCTTGTGTCTTCTGCCGGGCTGTCTGGCCTCTTTGTACTGCAATCCCTGCCAAGTTTGCTTATTTCCATTGTGCGCTGCATATTTTTTAACTTTTGCTTGTTTTGATTTGTCATTACTCACCGCCGGCTGCTGGCTAACTGCCTTGTTGGCTATCGCAGTGCCTTTGCCTTTGCATATGAGTTAAAGAAAAAAGCGCCAAAGTTGATTTATTTACATTTTCATTGATTTACTCAGCGCCACAGACGTGGCAGCGGCACAGTCAAGTGAGAAAATAAACAGGCTGGAGGCTCGTGAGATTGTTTCTTTGGCTGAGTATATTCGTTAACAGCAAAAAATTGGATTCTCATTGCCAGTTGCACCGCATCGTCATACAAATGAATATGACGCGCTTATAATTGTCCACCCGACAAAAAGATGGTGTGGTGTGGTGGTGACGGCACTGAAGCGACAGCCCTACTCCACGGTGTCTCCTCCGCAAACGCATCGTTGGTCATTTCCCCACATAAATCGTGTTAAGCGCGCCTTGGGCTTTGGAGTGTTTTCAGATTTGCTCTATAGCTTGCGGCTGCTTTATTCAATTCATTTTATCATCATTTCCTCTTACTGCTCTCCCCCTAAGCACCGCAACCACGGCTCTAACCACTTTATTTGTGTTACATTTTCAATTTCTTTCGCTTGGCACTTTTATCTAAAATTAAAATTGATTTTAATGAAGTAGCTCGTTATGCTGGCTTTTGACGCGCTATTGTTAGCTGCCTATCATAGCTGGAGTGTAGCAGCAAGCAAACAACTTTGACAACTATAACAACAACAAAACGATCCAATTTTATTTGTGGCACTCCACTTAATGAGCACTTCAGCTGCTTGAACAGCATTTTCTGTGAGTAACCCGCTAGGCGCTTGCGCGCGCGCCGCTTTTGTCGTTGAAAGCATTGCAAATATGAGATATATGCGTATGCGCATTCGCGCGCGCATGTATGTTTAAATACAATTTGTTGCGCCACAAACAAATCTATTTGCAATGCTTTCCAAATTGCTGTCGTTGAAGATTTTTGACATTCATTTGCGCTTTTATATCTGAGCGCCCGCCACACGATTTGCAAGCAAGCAAAATAGCGAGATGCTCCAGTCATTTGACTAAATTTCGCAAATTTTTTCGCAAGTGGGTCAAGAGTTGTGTTGCTTTGGCAAAAAAAAAAAGTATATTATAAAGCATGAAGAAAGCGTTGCGCTCATTAATTTGTATTTTAAAAAGTTTCCTTTATACATTTTCGTATTTCAAAGTTACTCGACCATGGCAGCAAACTACTAAGTGATCTGCAAATTCCCACCTACAATACGAACGAAACAAAGTAAAAGTCCTCTTCCACTCTTCCGCTTCATGCGAAAGCGCCAACGCAGATTCACTTGCCATCGGCTGATCACCGCATCAACAACAACAAAAGTAAGTGACAAGCGCGCGCACGTCTGTCAGTCGCAAATCAAACTACAGTACAACTTCAACTTCAACTCAAATCAACTAAAAGCAAGGAAGAGCAGCGCATATACATACAAACAAGTTATAATATTTGTAGCGTGGTGTGAGTGTCACCAGCATTGCCACAAGCAACAGCAGCAGAAATGCAAGCGCAAGTCAAGCGATCATTTGATCAGCAAAGAAAAGATCTGTGCGATCACCAAACGATTGCGCTCGCCAACTCTACAGCATTGCTGGTTGACCAACCTTAGGCCAACTTGGCNTCGCAAATCAAACTACAGTACAACTTCAACTTCAACTCAAATCAACTAAAGGCAAGGAAGAGCAGCGCATATACATACAAACAAGTTATTATATTTGTTGCGTGGTGTGAGTGTCACCAGCATTGCCACAAGCAACAGCAACAGAAATGCAAGCGCAAGTCAAGCGATCGTTTGATCAGCAAAGAAAAGATCTGTGCGATCACCAAACGATTGCGCTCGCCAACTCTACAGCATTGCTGGTTGACCAACCTTAGGCCAACTTGGTCTAACTCGTCGTTGTTGTCACTGTTTTAACTGCTGAGTGACAGCCGCAGAGGCACACTGACGCATTGACTCGTTGACTGACTGGCATTCAGCGCGAACGTGCGCGCGCGCGGATACACCGACTCTGTTGACTACTTATTTTCATAGCCAAGTGCAGCGGGTGGCAGCAATAAAAAGCGCCTACATATACATACATATATAACAAATAAAATAAGTAACTAACTCCACTTGCAGTTGGGCATTTGGCGAAAGGTGACTCTCATACGCAGTGCACCAGCTAAGCCAAGCACACCAATCGTGGTGATCTTTTAGTTAACTGATCGCGTCGTCCAGCGGCTATTGAATGCAAGCCACACGTAGCTAGTCTACGTGTTTTTAAGCGTAACTGGGCCTATGTTTATGCCTCGTCGCTGTGTTGTTTTGTGCTTGTATGCGCGCTTTTTATTTGCACTGTATCTTGAGCGCGTCACTTCCACATCCACTTTATTGCAACTTCAGGCTTGGAACGCTTGTGTGCATATCTGTTAGTCTGTCTTTCTGTTTGTCGCTCTTTGTCCGTCGTTCGTTTGTCCATCCATCCATCCATCCATCCATTTTCTGTGTGTGTTTATGGTGTGTGACCATTTTTGCAAATTATTTCTCACGGCCAATAAGCACATGCATGGCAAATGCACAAATACACTACGTTCGCGCGCGCGCGCGCCCGCTCCCTCACAAACAATCACTTACTTACTTAACGCAGCGCGCGCAACGCAACGCCAAGTAAGTTCCGACACTTGTCTCTTGTTTCTCCACTTCTACCGCCATGTCATCGTGGTGCGTCAGACAATTGTAGCCCAAACAAAAAAAAGAGGAAGAAATACGCAGAAGTATGATCGCGTATGCGATTTGGTTTTGTAGAAGATGCGACAGAGCGCCGCGAGAACAAAGAACGTATTCGCTGAAGAGGAAAAAAGAAAATAATTTAATTTAATAATTACAATAATAATGCAGAGCGCAATGTGTCAAACCCTGCAACGGCGAGTGAATACGAAGGTTATAAAAAAGAGATTGTAAAGTGAAAAGAATCACCAAATATGCATTCGAATTTAAAAGCATTGACCATGCAGGTCCGCGAAATTTGTGGCAGCCGAAAAGGCATTTTATTATTTTTATTTTATTAATTTTTTTCGAACCTCCAACCTTCTTCGCGCTCTACAAGCCGCTCAAGGGATTCCTGTAAAACCAGCGATCACTTTAGTAGGCTTGTAGTTGTCCAGTACATGGTTACTTCTCGAACTTGTTCCCCTTTCTTGTTCGGTTGCTTGTTGTCTGTAGCGTCATGAATGAAAATTAAATGCAGCAACATGTTTGCGGTATACGTGCGAGAATTTTTAAAATACGCAAGCACAGCCAATTTGTACAAAATGTTTCGTACATTTTACCCGTACTTCTCTTTTCTGGAATGTCTTCATTTTTGTATTCAGCAATTTGTTGTAAGCAGCTTGTAAATTGGAGCACTCTTCGAAGCGGAATGCTCGAAAACTATAACTGCTTTTTGATCTTAAGCAGTTTAAAAATGCGCCGACTGTCAATTTGTTAAATGACCAAGTATTTACATACTTTCCGACTTTCGTTTTTTTTTTTTGGATTATTAAGCCGTGCGCCTATTTTGCGATTTACAGACGACATCGCTGGAATATTAGATTAATAATTATATGAAATTTGCTTTAATAAATAAGGCCAACTCGTGAAGGGGTTTGGTTTTCTTTTGTGGCGAAAGTTATCGAAGTCCTAAAAGTATCTACAAATACCTAAAAATTGAAATTCATTTTGGATACCTAAATAACTTATCCTCAAGGAATATATTATTTATTTTTATTTTTTGGCTCAGTAATATTTCTCACAATTAGTTAATACGCAAAACTCTTTTCCCACCTTAGCTTGTCTCAGCACCCTTACTCTCTCTCATTTTTCTGCCACTTCTCCAATATTTAGCTTAGTCACAAACCACTTTACTCGTATAGCCAAATCACTAACATCTTTCTCTCTTCTCGCTCTCTCTATTTACAGTTGTCAAACCGGCTGGAAGGGACCTCTGTGCAACGAATGCGAACCCTACCCGGGCTGCGTGCATGGTACCTGTAATAAACCTTGGAAATGCATCTGTAAGGAAGGCTGGGGTGGCTTACTCTGCAATCAGGATCTCAACTACTGTACAAATCATCGTCCTTGTCAAAATGGTGGCACCTGCTTCAATTCCGGTCCCGATCTATACACCTGCAAATGCCCACCGAACTTTATTGGCTCTGAGTGCCAGAATGAGATCACTTCGTGTAAGGAAGGCAATCCATGCCAGAATGGTGGCGCTTGCCTTGACGAGACTAGCACGCGCGGTTATAAATGCGAATGTCTGAAGGACTGGGGCGGTCCATTGTGCGAAGAGAAGGTGATCACTTGTCTGGATAAACCATGCCGTCACGGCACCTGCCGCAACTCCACAAAGGGGTTTCAATGCGACTGTCCGGGCGGCTACAGCGGCCGCGTATGTGAGCTGCACGTAGACAACTGTAATCCGAATCCCTGCCAGAATAGCGGGAGCTGCTTCATGACCTCTTCCGGTAATCACAAATGCCAATGTCGCAGCGGTTTTGCGGGCAGCATGTGCGAGCAGAACATCGACGACTGTCAAGGCAATCCATGTCACAATGGCGGCACCTGCATCGACATGATCAATCAGTTTCGTTGCCAATGCGTACCGGGCTACTTGGGCTCACTCTGTTCGGATAAGGTAGACTTATGCTTAACTAAACCTTGCGCCAATGGCGGTACCTGCACGAACCTGAACAACGACTATAGGTGCACTTGTCGCGCTGGCTTCACCGGCAAAGATTGCTCAATTGACATTGATGAGTGCATGTCTGCGCCCTGTCGCAATGGTGGCACTTGCGTGAATCGCGTCAACAGTTTCCATTGCGTTTGCGCCCACGGATTTTGCGGTAAACAGTGTGAAGAGGAGTCTTACGCGTCGTACGAATCTCGTCCGTATCAGGCTGCGCCACAGGCGCGCAGTGACGGCTTGACATCTGGGCAGGTTTTTCTGATTGCCATACTCTCGGTGGCCATGCCAGTGGTGGCTGTGATCGCCGCTTGCGTAGTGGTTTGCATGAAACGCAAGCGTAAGCGCGCACAGGAGAAGGACGATGCGGAGGCGCGCAAGCAGAACGAACAGAACGCAGTGGCGACGCTGCATCACAATTCGAATGGCGTTGGCGGTATGGGCGTGATGAGCGGTGTGGTAGGCGGCGTCGGTTTGGGTGTGAAACGAACTTCATCCTCTGGACTGGCATTCGACAATTCCAATCCGAACATCATCAAGAATACCTGGGATAAATCGGTTAACAACATTTCGGCTTCTGCAAGCACAGATGATTGCCTAAATACATCGCTATATGGCAGCGCGCTAGCCAACTATGCGGCGGACAACAACGCCAATTCGGAATACTGCGGTGTAGGCCAAATAGCGCCGCTGCAACGCGCCAAGTCACAGAAGCAACTCAACACCGATCCCACACTAATGCATCGCGCCTCACAGCTGTTGCACAGCGCCGCTAGTGCAGTAGCCGGTGTTAGTGCTGCTGCGGCGGCAGCAAATAGCGCCGCCAACGCTGGCCTTAGTGGGGTGAACGGCGCTAACGGCGCTGTTGGTGGTGGTGGCGGTGCAACCAAAGACTATGGCGTCCATGGCAGCAACGGCGGCAGTGGCGCTGAAGGCAAGCGTATCTCAGTGTTAGGTGAGAGCGCCTATTGCAGTCAGCGGTGGCCATCGTTGGCGACGGCAGGTGNGACTATGGCGTCCATGGCAGCAACGGCGGCAGTGGCGCTGAAGGCAAGCGCATCTCAGTGTTAGGTGAGAGCGCCTATTGCAGTCAGCGGTGGCCATCGTTGGCGACGGCAGGTATGAGTGGCGGCTGTGCGTCACAGATGATGGCTGCCTCGGCAGCGGCCGCGGCGGCGGGGAGTAGTGCGGCGGCGTCTGCTGCGCATCAGCAACAGCAGCAGGCGCGCGCCGTATTGTGTGGCACGCCGCATATGTGAACGTCACATGGCGGCGCAAGTGAGCAGTTTTTGGCTGTGGCGCCGAGCGTGGCAATCGTGTGCGGTTGCGCACGACAGCATAATCGGCGAGTGCGCAGGATGTTGGCGTGTTGGTGCGGGCACGCGTAACGTAAGCTGTTGAACATTTTTTGCTACGAAATTTCTTAACAAAAAACGAGCGTTTTTTCGTTGTAATTTTAATTTAATATTTTTTTCATTTGTTCGTGTAAATGCTAAAATCTTTTTACAAGCGAAAATATGCTGCTTCTCTACCGATTCAATTATATACATACATACATACATAAATTTTTTCTGTAATTTTTCGCTGTTGAAATGGACTGACGTTGATAAGAAATTTATTGTAAAAAGCCGTATACATAACTAGAATTAATATTATAATATAAGTAAATAACTTGTGCGCAATTGTGAGGAGCGAACGACCGAACGAACGAACGCGTTAGTGAGTTGGTATACAAGCTGACATTTTAAGAAATTTCAAAACTAAAAAATTATGCTGTATGTTGTGTGCTTTGTAGAATTTGGAAAGAGATAAATGGACCTTAGCGTTAAACAAATTTTTTTAATTGTTAAAATTATTTGCTAAATTTAATATTTATTAAGCGAAAAGCATAAGAAATGACGCATTCCGCTAGTAGCAAACGACGAGTATTTTTGCATGACGCTGCCACGCATTTTTTTGCCGTTCAAGCGCGCAGGTATATAATTGGCGCTTACAAGTCTCCTTATTTATAGTGCGATTTTCTTTTTTTTTCCAAAAGAAAAATTGTCTTATTTCGCGTTTAGTGGAGTGCGCTGATTGCTGTGACGAATTTTCGAATTAAAAAAAAAAACTAGTTATTAAATGCTAAAGTTTAAATGACAAAGCCGCTCTACTAAAAATTTATGAATTGTGTAAGACGAAAAAAATGCCTCGACATTTTAATTTATTGCATGCGACTTAAAAAAAATAACTGTTTAGGTCTCACATATATAATTTTGTTAACAAACAAATTTTTGTGTGTCCAACTGCCATTATTTCGAGGCACCTTTGCAAACATTTAGAAACTCGATCCTTTTCGCCGAAATTCCGCTGTTTAAAAAATGTATTTAAATTCCTGGAACCAACTACGTGCATTTTTGATTTTTTTTTCGAAAAAACTAAGAGCGCACTGGTGTCCACATTGACAAAAATTTGTTTTTGCTGTAAAAAAATATTTAATTGACTTGTAAATATTAGTTTTAATTTTTTCGATATGCACTTTTGACTTGTGTTAATATATTTAACAAAGAAAATTTTCAATTTTTATGTGCGGTGTGTTTGTGTTCTGGAAGGCTTACAAATTTTGTGTTGAAATTTTTGGATAGAAAAATTTTGCTAACAAAAAAATTTATTCAAGAAAATTAAGCTAAACATTAAAATTTCTACGAATAAAATTAAAATTTAGGCGAATATATTTTTGAGTTTAAAAATAAACGATCTTTTTTAGCTCAGAAATGTATTCGCATTTTGCTTCAATTTAATACTAGCTAGCAAAAAATTAAAACAATTTTTTTTTTAATTTTAATGTTTTAATTTTTTTAGTTTTTTTTTTAATTTTTAAATATGCTATACTATGTGTATACTTTTTCGTTTTTAGTGCCTAAATATTGTTTCTTGTCTAAATTTGTATCCTATCGTAAAAGTTTTGTAAAGTAAAAAAACTATTTAAATTACAAATATTTTTCGATATATACTTATTTAATTGATTCAATAAATTTGTTTGATATAAAACATTATTTTGGCAAATAAATGTAACGTAAAAAACTACGACTTTTTGTCAAAATTTTAATATCTTTTGTATTATAATTTTTAGATTTATAATTTCTTCTTTCGGTAAATAAAAATTAAATTTTAGAATTTTTTAGTTAGATATTTCTAATTTAATATTTTTTTCCTTCCAAAAAAAAATATTTTCCTCCCCCAAAAAAAAAATCTCTTTACAAACAAAGCTTAGCAAAGAAAATACACTCTTTCAACTTAATTTTTGTAAATTAAATATAATTTTTTCTCTAAAAAGTAAGCATACATTTTCTTTTCATTAAATTTGTGCTTAGTTAAAAACTTTTAAATCTAGTTATTTGGTTTTTCGAAATATGTATTAAAAATTTTTGCACACTTTTTAGCCTTACAGAACATATGAACGCACCCGCGCTCCTATCGCACTTTACGCACCTCTCATAGGTAATTAGTTAACATAGATATACATATTTATAAATTTATATTTTGTATGCCAATTTAGTTTAAATTTTATTTCTAAGAGTAAATAGAATAGACAAGCAAAGCAAACAAACAAACAGAAAACATAAATAAAGTGAAGACAAAAATTTTATGTAAAAAGGGCATTTGTTAGTGAAGCCCCTTATTTCTAAACTAACTCGAACTTATTTTCTACGCTATTTTTATTTTATACATGTATATTTAGTTAAAATATTACATAAACCCTGAAAGCAAACAACATTGTTTTAATCAAAAACAAATTTTTAAATTTTTTCTATTTTACAAAATAATTAAATATTATAGAAAATTGCATTTACTTTTGATACTTTGGCATATCGCTGTATAAACCGAAAAGAAAAAAATGTATAAAAAAAATTGTGGCTCACTTGAATTGTTTATTAAGATTTGATAAAAAGCTAATAAAATAATTTTTGGCAACAGCAAAAAATTTCTCGCAGTGTCACAAAGCCAGCTGATGTGTGAAAGACACTATTTCATGCATAAGCATACAAATACCCGCTCTGCTTGATTGTAATTATTTAAAACAAGACATACATTTACTGTTTATTTAGAAATTTAATTTTTTTAAAAAGACAAAGCACAAATAGAACTGAAAAAAGAACACACAAAAACAAACAATGCATTGAATTTATTAATTTCTAAGGACAACTTGTTTGAAAAAAAGATAAAAAATATATTTTGAATTCTGCACAAAAATGTTATTTCGACGACCACAAAAAATATATTTTTAACTACAAGCAAGTGTGAACTTAAATATATTGTGAAAAAACTGAAAACAAAGTCAGCGCTTCAAAGAAATGTATTGTGTAAAGAAAGTGTTACCAAATTTTTTTTTAAAGTTGAAAAAACACTAAAAAAATATTGTAAATTTTGTGACGCGCCCAAACTGAAATATTTATTAAAAAGCACGAAACATAAAATGATATGTCAAAAACAAAAAATAAACAAAATGTGTTATTATTTTTATTATTTTTTTTCTAGCATAGCACAGTTGTAAAAAAAGTTGCTAATTTCTAGTGATGATCTCAAAAATTTTGCGCGCGGCTGCAATTTTTCGCGATTGCGCAAAGCACAAAAGAGGAAGGGAAGCACAATTTCTACGAATTTTCGGTTTCCTTGCTCGCGGCGGCAGGGAGGAACTGAAAATGCAAAATATTTTAAAATTTTAAGCAAACAATTTTTTTATAAAAAATTTAAATCGATTTGAGTGACTCAACTCTCAAGACATTGTTAGTTGGAGAAGTAGCATCAAATCTTCTCTTTACTGGGATTTTTTTCTTTGTCTTCAAAATTTCCGACAATGACGTCAGCGCCAGCAAATTTCAAGATATAGCAAATTTTGATTACATTTTTATTGTGTTTACTAAAAGTATGTGTACTTAATTGTACAATTACTCAAATACATGCGTTCACACGCTTTTCTGAATTAATTTTGAATTTAGCGAAAATGTACACACACGACGCAGCATGTCTCCGATAAAGACGAAAACATCAAATGATTAAAGAAATAAAAATAAATTGTGTAAAAATTAAACTATGCAACAAATTTATTGTAAAAAATGTTTAGCACAGTGTGAAAAGAGCGCAACAGGATGAGTTGAAATAATGGCAAAATGGTTCCTCGTTAGTTTTTAACCAATTTGTGAGAATTAGTTTTATGCAAGCAACCAAGAAAAATACAAAAAAAAAAAAAACGAAGCATAAGAAGACATAAGACAAAATACAAAAGAAAATTAAAAAAAAAGACAATTAAAAATCCATGTACATACCTAAAGAAACGGCTGCACGCAAGAAAAGTATACATATTTTATACAAATGTGTATAATAAAATAAAAATATATATGATTTTATATATGAAAATGCCGAAAATTTATTTGAATATAGACTCAGCTGCATGGAGCAAGACTCACACAGGTAATAGTGGAAAAAATATAAAATTTGCAAAAAAATCCAGGTTTTTTATTAATAAGTACATTACTTATCCATAAACTCTTCAACAAATTTTAAACGGCCTAACTTTTATATCTAAACATTTTAAAATTTTTTATTTCATTTATTTTTGTAGCCTTAAATTTTTTTTTCTGGATTTTCTTCCTGAAATTGAAAAAAAAGCGTCGAAAGCATTGAAAGTTTCGAAACGTTGACTGAATGAACTGTCAAAATTTGCGTGGAATTTTTTACGAACTTTGAAATTTGTCAAATTTACAGAAGGGTTTACAATGCCAGCTTAGAGCTGAGATTGACTATTTGGGAACCTTCTTTTGTTACAATGTTTAGCGTTTAGCTTTGAGAAAGTTTCACGTTCTAAATGACATAATTAAACGTTTTAAAATTTTGAAAACTGATCAAATTTGCAGAGTTCAGTAAATTTTTCGAACTTTTCGATGGCTTTTTTGCTGGAATGTTCCTAATAATATATGAACGTATTTCGCTATAAAAAAGACATATTCCGGTTGAAATTTTCTTATTTTTTTTTTAACGCTGCTCGATGGCTGCCGAAAACTTACATATTTTCAACAGTTAGTGCCGTTTGC